CTGAAATTTGAGAAAATGTGTCATTTATGATTTATTTGCAAATAAAATAGTGACATCATTCCAACCAAAAGTCAATATTAAAAACATTTTTAAAAAGAGAAAGATAGTTTTTCTGATGGAATGAGGCCTGTGTCACCGCAGTTATGAAGCTGTTGTTTATGAAGAAACATTTGGGGATAAAAATTGAATTTACAGGAGCAGTGTTATGAAACTGATGACATCACAACAGGTAGATCCACGGCTCATCATGAAGTCCGGAATAATTTACTGCAATCACATTTTTGTTCATAATTCACTGAATCAAGGTATATTCGTCAAAACATATTTCCCAGAAGCCCAGTTTGACACACAATGACATAGGTTAAATTCCACCTCCAGACAGGTGTGGAGTTTGCATGTTCTCCTTGTGTTTGCATAGGTTTTCCTCCAGGTGCTCCAGTTTTCCTAACAAATAAAACAAATAATAATAACATGTCTAATGGTAATTGAATGAGTGGAGAGGGAGTTTTGATGCTTCAGGGGTTGGACGTCTCGCTTCTTTCATCGTTGTGTGTGGAGAAAAAGAAAATTCCTGGTACAATAAAAAATGTAACGCTCTATGTGTGACCTGCGCTACATAATAAACATTACTCTCTCACTTACATCCAATTGATGACGGCATCCACCACAACTAGGAAGTGATGAAAAAATATGACCAAACTGGATTGAAATGTGAACAACCGTCTCGCAGATATAAATGAGATAAACATGGATTCTGTGAGACTGGAACTGAAGATTCGGATCATTTTCTTGTTTTATGTGATTCTGTGCAGAGATTCTGGTTTGACTTTCAAGAAGAAATAAAGTCAAAGAGATTCAGATACAAAAGCTGTCAATGAAGGATGTAATATATGGCGGTGTTTAGTGAGAATAGACTAATTGACTTTTGTTTGAATAATCAGACTTTTAACAAAACCAAAAATTCATCAATGCCGCTTTTTCAAAACTAGTGCAGCTGACTGATGAGGTCTCAGATCAAGCCTCATTTTTACTTTCACTTTAGTTTGATTTAGTGTTTTGGTAATATGTCTTTCTGGGTAAATATCGTGTAAGGCACCTGTTTTGTTTGTATTTTTTGAATTGATGAAAATAAAAACACCTTTAGGAAATGCCCAAACACAATCATCTTGACTACGTTTTGTGAAAATCAGCATCTAAAGACTTTCTCTCTGTTCTCATTTTTCCACTTTCTTCCTCGGCCTCTGCTGACTCCGCTGTGTGCGCATGTGTGCAGAGAAGGGCTTTTGTTTAATTTTGACTTCCTGTTTTATTCTTGGCCTAATCCAAACTCTCCACAGCTGTGCCCTGGGCCCTGAGTAGGACAGGGGCGAGTGAGTGAGTGAGTGAGGGGGGTGGAGAAGGGGGGGTTGGGGTTGCCAGGTCCTATTGAGTGCTATTCTCCTCTGTACAGCTGACCAACCAACAGATGGAGGGGAAATGGGGTTACAGGCTTGGGCTTATAGTCCCTTTGTAGGCCAGCCGGACTCCCCCCTGTCCTCCCACCCCCCCTCACGACATCGCTCGGTCATAATACTTTGTCTCAATCTCTTCGTTCGGTGTCTTTTTTTCCTCCCCGCGTGCAAAGGGGAGAAGCGAGGGCATTGGATGTGCTCTGGATGAAGCTCAGAGACAGTGAGATTACAGACGTGTTCTTAATGCTCGGCCATATGTTAAAGGGGATAGTGACCAAATGATGCTGCCCAAGAGAAAAAAGAAAAACTACACTTGTCTTACAGTATTGGCTACGTTCATCATTCTCTCCATATTTAAGTACAGCTCATAGAGGAGGGTGCGTTACAGATTCATGCCGAGTTCCTGAAAATGTGAGGCAGACTTTTTATCCGGGTTAAAAACGGTTATTTTATAATTTGTTTTGTATGTATGTGACGCTATCTGTGGAAATGGTTTTCCCTCAGGGGAGAATAATGGTCCATCTCTCTCTCGCTCTATCCATCCATCTTCAACACGACTGTGTGTGTAATGTTTAATTTCTGTATTGATAGTGGTAAATGGTCACCTATTTTACATTTAGCATTCATAATTACACACACCACCAGAGCAAAGGAAACACTGGGTGCCCAGCAGGTTAAAGCTGGGGAACCTGAAAACGTCCCTATCTTTTTGTCAGTAGTATTTAAGTTTGATTTGTGTCTCTGCCATGTTTCAGTTTAGAGCGAGATGCAAACTGTCTTTAGTCTGATCAGTTTGTTTGATCCCAGCTGCTGGAGTCTCAAGACTGGAGCTTGTCCACTTCTTTGGGCCTGAGGGCAAACAGTCTCAAACATGTTACATGTTTGTCTTTTGCCTCCCACAAGAGACAAACCAGTAACTGCCCCTTCCAACGGTCCATTGGACCTTTTCTTTGCTCAGTGATTAAAGCCATACTCTGGTATGAACAAAGAGATCAGATTAACATACCCCCCAAAACACATACTTTGTTTAAAGGACGTTAGTTAATATTAATGCTTTCCTCAAGGGAGGCAAAATGCACAGACCTGCTCCAAAGTGAAACAGTCCTGAAGAAGAGCGTTACATAGAGCATTTGTTATGCAAATATTTGTTAAATATCCCAACCAAATTATGTATTTAGGACACCACTTAAAACCTACAGACTTAATTTTTCCACGGAGTCAAAGTCTTTTAATGTCACTGAGCCAAAAGGTTCAGAACCATTGACCAAACCACTGGGACACTTCAGTTTTAATAGAATTTACATGGATGACAAACTGAAGGAAATGCACCCGGACACTAGAAAAACAACACAACTCCAGTTTGAGAATCAAACCCAAGTTACCCAACACCTTGTCATGAAGAGATCTGACTCCAAGTGGAGCCTCACTGTGGAGGCCCAGACATCACCAGGCACTGCTTAGAAAATACAAATGAAGTTGTCTATCGATCAGATGAATATTTCAAAAGTTTGGCCGTCTGTACGCCAGTCTGTGCAGAACATCTCTACCCTCTCCCCTGCACATTCATAATTCATGTATTCCAGCCTCCCCCTCTCTGATTCCTCCTCGAGCTCAGCCAATCACAGGCCTCCTTCTGTCTGTCTGATTCGTCCTCTCGCTGGTTCGGGCTTTGATGTCTCTATCAACACCAGCAGTTTCCTAATAGGGCAGACGAGGGATTATGAGACTGCCATGCCTATAAAAATATGTTTAATTCATACTTATTTTTTATTATCAAGAGACTTATAAGTCAAGGGGGGAGCTAGAGTCGTTGCCACTTCTGCCTCCTATCAGAACGACACAGAGCTTAATCCGGTTAGTCTTTGGGAGGATGTTAGAGTGGAGGCCTGTCTGCAGCACACCCAAAGGCCCACGAGTCACTTCCCTCGCTTCCATGTGTTATAACTTCATACCTTAAACTGTGTTCCCAGGTTAAAATAGAAGTTTCTGTAATGTTTATCTCCATGGGAATTTTTTTGGCTGAAATGTTCGGCAGCACACCCTTTGGAAGTAGGAAAGCAACATAGATATTTGATTATTAGATAAAGGGCCGAGTAAAATAACTTTATTCATCGCAGTGGGGAAATGTTGGTAAAAGAAAAATGCGACAGCAAGATTTAATTGAATCTCCCAGTGCCAAGATTCTATTTAATATATGGTCACCCATGTAGGGGACTGATACAAGGGACCCAAAGTGCCGAAAACAACCAATCCAGTGGATTAATACTTAATTGGAACAAAACCCAGTATATAAACTTGAATTACCAAATGTACATATTGGTGAGGAGGCTGAAATCAAACTCCAGTCCAGAAAGCCATAAATAACCAGAGGCTAAACCACAATAATTAAATGGCTGCTCAGTATTTGGGTTCTGATTAGTAGAACCCCCACAATAATCCCCCAACACAGGTCCCACTAGTCACCACGGTTACCCTCTGTTAACCTCAGCCACTAGGATTAAACTGCTGTAAATGTGACATTCTTTGTCCTGCACACACAGAGGGCGGCTATAACCCAGTTATGTTATAGATGGCAAGAGCAGATTTTAAATTCCATGTTCGTTTTTATCCAGGGTGAGGCGCGAGGATTACATAAGGCATGACTCAAAGCACTGGGGAACCCCACGCAGAAGACACATCCGAGCTGCTGCTTAAGAAAAGACAACATTGCATACATTTATTAGGGATGGACGCCAATTCCAGTACATGCAAATTACCATTATCCTTTCGGTAGTGTTGACATTATTGCAAACACTTGTCTCCCTGCTGTTTTGTGTATTATATTTTTTATTATTTTATGATAAAAAAACATTGACAATTACATTGGTAGCCTGCATAATTTAAACACAGTGGGGATAGGAATGGCAATGCTTTAGACATCACGGCCTTTTCATAACCCCGCCCACCCCCAACCCACTGCCCGCATGCAGTTTGCACTGCACAAAGGCCAAAAGTCACGTGAGACAGCCTGCAAAGAGCACAAGAAGCATTCACAGTAAAGGAGGAGGATGGAGGAGGAGAGTAAAAGAGGAGAGAGGGAGGAGAGGAGTGAAACAAAGTGACTTGCAGCACTGGCCTTGGTTTAGACAGGAGAAGGAGCAGCATAGTCCTAGTACATCATTAAAACTTCTCCCACACTTCAACTCCCGTCTCCTGATTGTGGTACTCTTTCCATTGTCTTTGACACAAAAGTTTGTTTAATATATGCATGTATATATGTATATACATATGTGTATGTATATATATATAAACACATTTAAGCTACAGCACCTTTTCCATGGGGCAACAGTGTCAATACCTCGCACATGGTACATGGCCGTGCCAAAGAAAACAAAGGAAAATAAAAAATATATTGGTCGAGATATTTCTCTTTTTTCCCTAAAGTTGGCATTTGACATGATGATATTCTATTGCCGTCTGGGGGAGGGAAGAGACAAGCTTCTTCTGTAGTTAAGATTCAAGTTTTATCCTTTTTGTTGGATCATTATTCTTCCTGTTGTTTAAAAGAGTTCACACCTTGGTAATTTGAGTATGATGTTCCTCATCAAAAGGTTCATTTTCCGGATCAGAGTCAGTGGTATCCGAATATCGGTAATGATCCGGCTCATTATCACTAACGTCCGGGGTGACCGATGTTGACGTGCTCGCCTCTGAATTCGTGGGCTCCTCCACGGTTTTTGTGAAGTACAACTTCACCTACAAACAAACAAATCATAGATGGATCAGAAGAAAGCACAAGACACTTCAGTCTATACAGACTCACACACTCTAACGTGCAAGATCGACATGCAGGGAATCTGTCTAAACATGTTTCTATCAGGCTCCGCTTTAGACAGACCATGGCACTCAAATGTAAGCCATTCAGAACCGCTCTTAGCATTAGGGATGGTTTAGGATTAGGGATGTTGTCTTTGGTAAATGCACCTAAAGAGCAAAGTATTTGATCAGATCACTGTGTGTCCCGAATGATTTATTCTGATAATAAATCACACAGATGTTTGACAAGAGGCTGCAGACAGTTTACCAGAGGAAGGTGAGAGAAGTGGTTCATACCTTGAAGTTTGGAGAGAAGTAGCGGTTAGCTTTATCCTTGTTGGCCTTGTCCAGGTCGTTCTTAGTGAGCGTCAGGATGAGGTAGTCCCGGTCTCTGTCGCGCTCCTTGTCTTTGTCGCGGTCCCTTTCCCAGCCGCGCTCCTTCTCCTTGTCACGCTCCCTGTCCCACATTCGCTCCTTCTCCTTGTCGCGCTCCTTCTCCCTGTCCCACACGCGCTCCTTGTCTCCGTCTCGGGTGCTGTCCCTGCGCTCGGCATTGCTCTGCAGAGCCTGTGGCGGCGCCTGTTGTGGCTGACAGTCCATTTCGCTCACCACAGTCCCGTTCTCCTCGCGCTTCTTCTCCTCGTCTGGACCAGGGATGAAGAAGGTGTTCACCCAGAAGTGAAACATCTTGTCCTGTGGGAGAAAGTTCACATCATCACCATACGCAATATGAAGGTCTCTGAGTAGTGCACCAAAGGCAACCTGTGGGTAAATCTCCCTCAAAAGTATTGAATTATTTCACAAGTCTGTGCAAAGATCCATTCATTGATGTTTAGAGTAAAGTTTGCTCTTCTGAATTCAAGCAGCATAGTCCCTCAGTGCTAACTTGATAAAGCCAATAAATGCCTAAGCTTTACCTCTGGCTCTGGCTTCCATTCACATTCATTGAAAAGTAAAAACCTCCTACTCTCCAACCCCCACTGTTCTTTGACAAATTCTAACCTGAATTCTGCATTGGCGATCAAATAGAAACAGAACCGCTCCTGATTGTCTCTTTGCTTGGTGGTTGCCGTTGAAGAATTTGGCTACAAATTCAGATTTTGTGCTTTTTGAGCAAACTCCACAGGTGACGTGAACACTCAGTTCATTCCGACCGTTCAGAGGTCGATGGCTTTTCATGTTCATATGGTCTTTTTGAAATCAAGATATAAACGTCAGTGAGGTACAATAAATAAAATACCACTGAATTAGACCTCACCAGTAAAGACAGGGGGGATGCTGCTGTACAATACTCAAATGACGCATTAGTGTGGCTCACCTTCTTCATCATTTTATTCTGCTTATGGAAGAACTCCACTTTGATGTCTCCGCACACTGGCAGCGGTTGCGGGAACTCAAAGTACATGTGCTTGTCCTCGCGCCGCGTGTGAGCAGGGTTCGACGTGTGGATCTTCACCTTCAGCTGGTACACCACAAACTGGGGATCTGCGAGCGCACGGGGGGAGGAGGAGGAGAAGAGGAGGCGACAGGGGAGAGCCAGAGGCGTTACTACGGTTACACACACTCTCCAGAATGAATGGAGAAGTCAGCGATATTAGATTCAAACTTAAGAGCAGGAAGAAGGGAGGGGGAAACGTTAATAAGAGCACAAAATGACCCAGAACCAGAGATATTGGACCCTATTCCTTTGTTTGTAAGGACTGTAAACTGAGGGGCAGGGGGGGTGTGGGGGAGAGCTCATCTGCCGGTTAACTAGTAAACTCGAACCTACTGGATCTCTAGGGCCACACACACACCAACAAAAAACAAACATACAAAATATTATGATGGAGGAAAAGGCTCTTTATTTACCCCAGTGCCAATTCCCTTTCTTGAAGCCCTGAGGGGTCGGCTCGCTCCTGTTTTTTACGGTACTGTCCCCTTAGAGAGAGAGAAAGGAGGTTATCACAATGACCGAGCGGACGAGGGGCTGGCAAGAAGGGGCAACAGGCGACAACACACGTTTGCCACGCGTCCGTAAAAGGGAAGGAAGACATGGAAGAACTTGACACTAACCTTTGCGCTGTCAAAATTATAGTCAAGAGTCATGTGTTGTGTGTGTGTGTGTGTGTGTGTGAAAAAGTCAAACTCAGAATAGGGCCTCGTTTTTAGAAAAGAGGTGAAGGAAGGGATCTATACAGTGAAAGCTGCTGAGCACAGGAGTGTTTGAGATTGAAGAGAGGAGCAGGCACTTCTGTGACAGCTACAACAGTTCAGAGACAGGAAAAGCACAGCACACAGACTGTAAGCCAGCGCCGCAGAAAGCCGCTTCACTGCAAGCTAACAAAAAGACATCCATCTGCTAACACAAGTCAAGGCTAAACACTTTGTGTAAACAATAGCGTCAGGAGAGGCTCTTTTAGTAGTTAGTTTCATTACAACACTGTACGCATTGACAGAACTACCAACGACTTCTAATTGTGCAGCTTTCCTGGACTGAACTTTTGACAATGGACTTTTGCTTTGAGCTACAAGATTCCGGGTGCTATCTTATGTGTTAATACTCGCCAATTCAATTCCACAGATGCTGGGGTATGGAGTGCTCCACTAGAAAAGCAAATCTCAAACAAAATCTAAATGTACCCGTCTGTGGCCTGATTATACACAGATATAACCAAACCCTGCGTATGTACTCTTTCTGGACTAAGACTCCAGCATTAGCTCGGACTTTTACTGTACTGCGCCTGTCTGTGGGCGTTTGTGCAAACACGAGCGTGACTCACTGCAGGTGCCCCCGCTGAACATTGGGAGAGTCTCAAAGACCATTTTGTGGAAGAGCAGCGCCACCGGCTTGTACTCCATCTGGTTCTTCAGTAGGTAGTTGTAGTAGTGAACGTAGCGCCGCTGGCTCGGGATTGTGACGCCCTGAAACACAAACGACTCATTCAGAATAACCAGAAGCAGTTCAACAGAGAGGAGTAAACCAGGTCAAAACAATAACGTCACACTCAAAGACAACTTTTTTTCCATTTTATAACGATACAAAACGAACATTGGTCATCTGTAGGGCTGAAACAACTAATCGATTAATTGACGACTAATCGATTATTGAAATAGTCGACAACTATTTTAGTAATCGATTAATCGTTTTCTGGTTCACACGGACTCAAACAGAGCAAAAATGACATGAAAATGTAGTATTTTTGATTAAAACCGACTTTGTTTTTATAATTTCATGAATATCTGTCAGTCTCATCCAATCAGATAGCAGAATTAGCACAAAGAGCCTGTTACAAACATTTACTTTAAGTTTACGCCATCAATACGTCCTCGAGTGTTGCCACTTTAGCTTTTTGTGATGAAAAAATACATTTTTTTCTACACAATTCACAGCCAAGCGATTACTCGATTAATCGTAAAAATAATCGATAGATTAATCGATTACAAAATAATCGTTAGTTGCAGCTCTAGTCATCTGCCGGTTATGGACCAATACCAATGTTTTTTCTATTTTAGTGTTTGAACTGTTTTATTCCCTGATCTGTGTTGGTGAATTCAAAAATATTCAGTTAATTTAAAAAAAAAAAAAACAAAAACAACCCATGAATACTAAAGCAAATTTATAAAAAAAGGTGGGATATCCAATAATATATTTATTTAGAAATGAGTCAAAATCAATTATTCCCTCAGATAGTACAATGTAAATACAGGACTATGCCCCAAACTATTATTCGACACAATATCTAGTAAAACTAATCAAAAGTGATTTCTAAAGCGTTGCCCTCTTTACCTTCTTATCCCTTGTCCTAACTTCCCCATAGAAGTCCAGTGCTTCCTGGGCCTCGAAGAACTTGCCACGGTGCAGCAGGTAGGCGCAGATCATGACCCCCGTGCGCCCCTTGCCCGCCTTACAGTGGATGGCTGCCACGTGATTGTCGTCCTCGCTGAGCCACTGGTCCAAGTCTTCACAGAACGGCTTGATGAGCTCCAGCTGAGGAGGGTTGTGGTCTTCAAAAGGGTACTGTGCAACTGCGGACAGAAGACCAGAGGGAATCAATGTGAGGTTATTGCCCACTTGTGTATGTGTCAGTCATGATTGTGGACAGTGGTCATTCTGCTCCTGATGGACCGATGGCTTCTATGTGTTTGATAGTATTGCTTTTCCTGTATTTGATTCTCTGATCTGATGTGAATGAGAGATTTATTGTCTGTGAGATATAAGCGCATGTTATTGTATGGTTACTGTATTGTATTGTCTTTTTGAAGTTAAAGATTAAAGTTACTGTGCCCGGCCCCTTTCAAGTAAACACTGAACTGAACTGACTAGTGTTGTGATGTAGGGCTATACAAAAATACATTGAATTGAACTCCAGAGTGGGGAAGGAGTTTCAATGACAATGTTTGGGTCAATGTCTGGTTTAAATAACGACACGAGCTGAAAAAGTGCCATTTCTGGTCGTCACTAAATGTGTGGAGAGATTAAGCTCACGTTCAAATGTATTTGTTTCCAGAAAGCCAAAATCATAGTGACATTTTGTACAATTCTCCTAAATATATTTAAGTTAAAAATATACTCGCTGCCCACAAACATAGCCATTTGTCAAAGATAGAAATGTAGCAAAATCAAAAAGCTTTATGGGTGATCGCTCTTTAAAAGAACTTGTCACAAAGGTTGTTAGTAAATCATTGGCTGTAAGTATGACATACTCTTCCTGTGAGAATAATGCAGCTTCTAACAAACCAACCATAACAGTCGTAACTTACACAACAGGCGTTTAATGTTATAACCACCGCTAAACAGACTTAGATGAGTGATAGCAAAGTTTGTTTTTCAGGCGTACCTCTGCAGTTAAATTTGTTAGCATCGTAGTGTCTTTCTGCGCAGCTAAAACGAGAAGAGGGACAAAAGTCAGTGATCACGCAGAGGAAGTCGATAAGTAAACACCACTGTTCAGGAATGAAAGTCACGGCGGTTACTTACAGGTTGTAGATTTTGTAATGGTTTTTATGTTTCGAGTCGAGAAACCTGGAGAAAAAAAGAAAACATAAATTAAAAGGTGCTTAAAAGACTAATTTCTTCTCTGCTGTGTCCTCTCCCACTTACCTGACTACATCGTCTATATTATTTCTGTACACCCCTTCGAGCCTTTCTGCAGGGAACCCCATTGCAATAATGTTGGGATAGATATCTGTTCAGAGGGTCAAGGAATTGAACATTGTGCATGTCAGGGAAAATACAGAAAACAGTTAGGATTACTACAGCAACACCACATCAATCATTCCATACAGTACCAAACCAGCTGCGACAATCAACCAAGCTACCATCAATATATATGTAGAGTATAATGCTTATTTCGGTCTTCAACTGGTTACGTTTTGCCACGAAAAACTAAATTCTTTATTTGCACTTTTTGTTTTTTACTGGAGCAACATATCAGAAAAAATAAATAACTTTTCCATTTTATATTCACAATGATTAAGCCTAATAGTATTCACACTGGCCTTCCTTCCGAAGTCGATAGTGTAGATCTAACTGCTGTGTCTTTCGGTAAGACACTTCACTGCCAAGAGTGAATCCATTGCAGTGCACAATTGGCAGCCTCCCGTTGGGCAGTCGGCCTGGAGCAGCTGGGGTTATTACTAAACAATTATCTTTTATGAAATCAATCAGTTGATGGATTATTCCTTCGATTCATCGATTAGTAGTTCAGATCCCAGAAGGTCTGTGAATATGGGATTTATTTTTGCAGGTGACCAAAACAAAGCCAAAGTGAGGCCCCTGGAGAACATTCATGGAGGACTTGTTACACATTGGGTCGTTAGATCATAAATACATTTGTAAACACATTTTAACATAAAACCTCTTCTAAGTAAGTCATATTTATTCATATAGCGCATTTTACAGACCAAGTCACCCAAAGCGTTCTAAGCATGTTTGAGTCTTCCCATGTCTTCAAAAACCATGGTATATTAGTCTCATTAGAATAAATGCAGGCCTCAGAGCTGAAAGTCTGTGCAACATTATGTGAAGATGGCTGCTAAATGAACAGATTATAGATATGAGATGTTAACTATTACTATTACCATTTCAATAAATTGATTACTTGCAAGCAATCGATTAACACACAGGACAAGTCGTTAGATACCGCTCGTGTGTGAAGAGTGAATCAATTATTGAAACTCAGACTCTCATAGAAGTCTGAAAACCTCCATATGAATAAAGTATACATTGCCTAGTTGAACAGAGCCATGAACTTTAAAAAGGCAACACTTCAAGGCTGCTGTACAACACATGATCAGACGTGGTCCCCGAGCTCGACAACCGAGATTTGAGTGTGTTTGAGCGCAGGAGCATGTTACTGCGTTTGTGTGCCACGTGTGTCCTGTGTCGTTCCCATGTAGTAACAGTTGGCCTTGACAGTCGTCCTGCTCACATGTGGGGGCGCTCCCTGACCCAGGTGTATTTTTAGACCACAAAGTTATATTGGGAGGATGGCAAATGTTTGGCTTATCTCGTTTTTAGTGCAGCCTGACCAGTCCAGACTTCATGCCAAGGTTGAACATGAGGGGAGGGGGCTCAGTGCTTCCCAACTGATGGGAGAGAAAGTTTGTGCAACATTATGAGAAGATTGCTGCTAAAATACACAGATTATAGATATACCAACTATTCAAATTGTATCCCAATAGTGTTTAAGACACTACTCCATTTCCAAAGAAACATGCGTGATGTCATTACAGCATCAATAAAAATGAAATTTTTTGGCAACACAACCTACAACATATCTCAAACACCAATTTTTATTTACCCATTTCCTTTCAGTCTTTAATACAGCTGGGCTTCTCTTATTGAAGGATCTTAATGTTTTTAAGATTGCCCCCTTTGCATCGCAAAACATTGAGAAGTGACTAAAGAGTGGTGAAGAAATTCAGTTCGTCTCTTGCTCTACTGTCCTCTTCAGACCTGTGATTGGACTATTGATTCTAATGCACTGTGAGATTGAGGTTGAAAAAATATGAATTCAGCATGAAATGTATAAAATTTTAATTTTTTCTTAACTACTGAACAATCTAATTTGGATCGACACGTGCCTCCCCAAATATCCAACCTTTAAATTATGTTCTGGGTTGTGCATTTTTCCTGTACATTTGCTTACCTGGTGAGTTGACAGATCCATATTTAGCTTTCCATTGGGAAACCTGTCAAAATGGTTATACGGTGCTATACATGCAGCCTTAAGTCTCACATCAGGATCCAGTTTCAAGGAAAAAGAATAATTGAGTTGGCACCCATTCTGGGCACTCCGCTGCAGAGAGAACGCCTACCTGGAACTGACGGTCTGCCACTACCCCAGAACAGCTCAGGATTTCATACTTTCACCACCGACTAAAGGGCAACCTTTTTTCAAAGGCTGCCATGTCAAAAATAGAAATCAGTGCATTTCATCAGAGAACAGTGAGGGACAAGCATTTTTTTTACTGTGAATGTTTTGTAGACCATTAGGCTCTACTTGTCCTACATGGTTATGAAATATGAATGCTTGTAGACATGCTCTGACAGAGTAATTCCTAATAAAGACATGTTAAATGCCACGGGGTTTCTATACTTTAGAATCAGACTTTTCTATCCCCTGGACCTGTTGGCAAAGATCGTAGTCAGCCAACTCCGACTCCAGCTCCTCCCAGGAGAGGCTCAGCCCAGAGCGTGAGGGGGGCTCGCTTCTGCAGCTGGGAGGAAACGCACATGCGGGACCCCACGACGGAAGCTTGCGAGGAGAGAAAATAACTAAAAGAAAAATTAGCCGTTTCTGGCACGCCTTTTTTGTTAAAGCCAACCCAGCCTCGGATTCGTGTGCACGCCAAATCCACAACTGTGAGCCGGGGAGAGGGAGTGAAGGAGGGGGTTGGGGGCAACGTGAAGGGAGGGAAGGAGAGAAAACGAGCGCTTCAGAGCTGCTGGGTGAGAGGGCAGACGCACAGAGACGCGATACAAGATCACCGGCAACTCTATTTTAAGGGCAATTCCCAGAAGCGCGATACGGCATTACATAAGCACAGCCCCATATTGTTTTAAGACAACGCGCCAAAACGACACAGGGGAAAGGGCGAATGTGCAAAGAGCAGAGACACATGGCTGTAGAGTCTCCTCAGGCTCAGCTCAAGCGGTGCACCACAGACCTGCCGCCGACAGCATGACGCACACATGTTAACACAAGACGTTCGTCATAAGGACAGTAATGCACGCAGCATCGACGGCCTGCAAACACGCACAGGCGCCCATTACAAGCAGTTCCAACGGGGCCTTCACACACTATGCATCGGGACATGTGTGTAGTATGGTACTAAGCTGTTACAAGGCCATATCAGCCCACAAAGCGCTCTCTCCCAGGGATGCCCTACATTTGATTTGCATTTAGTTCAACGCGATCAGGCAAACCAGCTGTAAATCTGGCTTTATCTCCGGCCAAATATGCATAAGTCGCTACTTTAGTGCTAGTGATAATGCACTAGGGAACCAGGTCAGCTATAATCAGCGTCAATAGATGCTATATGAGCCTTACACGGAGCAATCTGACCATGGACAAAGACTGGAAACTGTCCTGAGAACATTTACGAGGAAATGCTAGAATACTTTGAGTTAGCATATGGTTCATTCAAAGTATTGTAGTGGTGCTGAATATGTCACATATCCTGCTAAAAATCTTAAACATCACAAGACTAACAAAACACGCGTGTATTTTAAACTATGAGGGAAAACTCAAAGATTTTAGGAAATATAACGAGCTCAATCCGAATGTTTATCTAATTCCTATTAAAAACAGATAATAAAAATACTAGCATTTCAATACATGCAAAACACATGCAATGTAACGAGGTAGAAATGATAAGCAGAATGCTAAATACTGATGGTAAATGTGACTGACATTTGTGTGCAGGTTTGACAGATCCACCATCTTTCAAACATGCTGCTGACAGGAGCTGAGCTGTCTCAGACTAGCAGAGGCTAAAGCCCCAGAGCCAACTACCGCGTTTCTGCACTCAAAATACTCCAACACATGTAAAAACACTGCTTTAACAAATGTATGCAGGAAACATTAATATGGTAAAGGATACATGTCAAGTCCAGGTCGAAGCCGTCCTCCTGGTATCTCCTTTTGTTGCGGCTCACCATTTCTTTGATAATCGCAGCCATTGTTGCAATAGTTCGTGGATTTAACAGTAAAACAGAGATGTATTTTAGCCGAGTGTGTCGCAGAGTGTCGTTTGGCTCACTGCTGTGTGAATTTTGCAGGTCCTCGCAGTCAGCTAGCCAGCAGCGCTAGCAGAGCCAGTCGATAGGATTAGACAGGTTTCCTGTGGATCATAAAGACGGGCCGTGCTCAGGTCCCTGTGCAGGCCCAACTTTCCTATCCTTGGATTCGTTTCGCAGCTCCGCTCAAAACACATCCAGCAGTCCACTGGAAAACCTTCTACATGTCACACAAGGTCCAACGTGAAGCCGTGAAGGCGAGAGGATGGGGAACTCGCCGGTTCCCTAAACCCGTATCCAGTCACTCGGACGGAGCTAGCGAGCTAGCTAACCCGCTAGCTAGCAGCTAGCTAGCAACAATAGCTAATGCTATCCCTTTTTCGACCCGACAGCCTTCTAACGATTCAACATTGTCATCGACTGACTGCCAGGAACACATCCGAAAGAAAGTGACAGGCTCCACCTTAAATGTATATAGACTATACAAAAACTAGAGTGCAAGAATGGGCTTGACAGGTCCGTCCCGGGGAATCATCGTTTTTGTCGCTGCTGTGTGCAGCTGAGCTCAGGCCGCCATCATGGCCTCCACCGAAGGAAAAAAGAAGGTAGCGCAGGCAGGGATTTTACAACACATATCCCGCCTCTGACGAGAAATAGTCCCACAATTTTGCTGATTTGCCCTCGCTGCTTTAAATCCAATCAGCACTTACCCACACAGTACAGCGCTTCACTCAAGTATATCCCCACGAGTGTTTTTGTTGGGAAAGTGTTGTATTTCCATTATTGAGTTTAAGCGTGACTTTGGCGGAAGGATAAAAGGAGTATGCGCGCAGCGCTCCCTGTCAAAGTGGTCACGTGTGAGTGTAATTAGGGAAGTTTCTAACAAAATGACACTTTTCGAACTTCAACTGTCACATTTGAAGCAGAGAACAGGTATCATAGCCCATGATTATATCCTATTGTTAAGATCACTATGTGATGCATTCATATATTAAGTGAGGCAGTTGCTTTTTTCCTTTCAATTTTTATTGTGGCCAAAATTGAATGAATGGTAGGTTAGCAATTCAGAATTTTTTAATTAGTCATTTGTTACATGTGGGGCTCAAAAAGACTGAGCTGGAATTGCATGAACCATAGAAAAGTAATAATAATAATAAAAATAATGAAACTGCGTTGTGGAATAAACAACAGAAATGTCAACCTGTTGTATGAGGCTATCTGCCCTGCAGACGGTCCCCCGTCCTACTTATTCAAAAGATGTGCCACTTGTTTGTATAATTTCATGAGAATAAAAGTAGCACGTAGTTCAATGGACTTATTTTGGGCTGAACTTTTTTGACCTCTGTATTTTCTCTATGCGTGTGAAAAAACATTGTCGCTATTCATTTTAACAAACAAATGTTAAAGTAATTCTGAAGTTGTGTTTTAGTGAATAATACATAATCAAGATATTTTTGTATTTTCAAAATAGGAGGATTTAATTCGCTTCATGTCAGCCGCCAGACTGCCCCTGGCAGCTGTGGCTACAGTCTATAGTTTACCTCCACCTTGTACGGTCCTCTGCTCGTGCGTGGATTCATCTTCAGTTTACTGTATAAAAAGTGTATTCCTAAGGCCATGGTTTTTAGTCCGATTAGGCCTGAAACCCCAGACAAGTCTGACTTTATTCCGTGGTTTAGACCAAATATCCAGCTGTTTAGTTTCTTAGGATACATTTTCAATGATTTTCTGAGGTATTTGGCGTAAAAAGTTGCCATCAGCGATGACGTATTATTATTTTTTCTCCCGGCAGGTGGTGCCATTGTTCCTTTGGAAATGGCCTGCAGATTGGAGCACACAACTGTTTCTGCCTAACTCTGATAAATGCACATCCTAGACATATGTGGGTAACAGGCCACACTACTCACACTCAAGTTTTCTATATTTTATTTGAACCACTTTTACAGGGTAATTACATTAAGTCTTTGGTAATTACCAGCATAGAAGTTCCCACTGACACAAAAACAAATTTAAAAAAAAGTTTAATTCGATAATATATATTTGAAGACATATAGTTATCCTTTTGTATATTTCTACTTCATATACTGTTGGTTCATACTCTACTTTACTACTAACAAGCCCCCTTGCCCCTTTGCTCTACCTGACCAAGGCCCTGACCACAAGCACACGGAAGACAAGACTAAAAGTCTAGTTTCCACTCCCTGGAGAAGTTGACCAAAAGCCATTTAATTCAACTTATTAGAGTCATTTCTGCAGTGACTCATGTAGAGATTTCTTGCATCCTTTTTCAGATGTTATTTCTCAAGCAAAATAAGTAGATTTAATAATACTCCACAATTTCCAACAGCACATACAGTATGAAGGGACTGCATTTACCTGAAGCCTGCTTATTCTGAAGTGCACATCTGATTCACACTGTCTGTACCTCATACCACTTTTTAACACCCGTCAGTAAGATTCACATTCCCATACATCACTGAACTTTTAACCCCCCATGAGCCCTTCCCCCGCAGCCTTAGATCCTCGGGCAGGGGCCTGTTGGGTTCCAAGGTCGAGGCGCAAGACGAAAAGTGGCCGAGATTTGGAACGACCTGCCCGAGAAGATGAGGCTCCATCAGTATCCTCTTTTAAATCACTTCTTAAAATCCACTTTCATCAAACAGCCTTTCACTGCTAGTTTTAAATTTCACATGTCGTATTTAATTGTCTCACTTTGTCTATATTTTGTCTTTCCTCTCATGTTTCCTCTGTCTGCTTTGTCTTCCTGTATCTACTGTTAATTATCTTGTATTATTATTGTTATTCATGGGCTGTTTTTCATAGTTTATGTTGATTGTGCAGTGCTTTGTAAACACTGTTTTTGAAAAGTGCCATACAAATAAACATGAATAATTATTGATTCACTTGAACATAAGAATGGGTGGTCAAGGATTGCGTGTCTAAATGAAATCTCTCATCTCTTTTTCTCGTCTTTTTACAGCGCACCACACATATCATTGAAAAAAACAGTTAAACAAGTTGACAATAAAAACCTAAAATTTATTAAAATATCTGTTATAAGTTAATATAAAAAATCACATCGGAATGTTTTGATTTGGAAAAAACCCGGTATACCTGTAAGTCAAATGCTAAGCCAGCACTTCTACTTCATACAAAGGCGATCACCGTGAGCAGGAGAAGAGCCTTGGAAAATGACCTCTTTCTGAGATTGATTGGGAGCGTCTTCTCACACGTCTGGTTCACTTTAACTACAACAATTCTAGTTTTTTGTGGATGAAAAACCGTTTGGTGGTTTGCATGTGTAGTCAAGTCTTTGAACCAGGCGTGGGTCCAGTTGAAGTGAACCAGAGCGACCAGTGCGCTCCCTGAGACTGGTTTCTGGAGTTAGTTTTCCTTCTTGATGGAGGTGTAGTAGTCGACCAGCACCGTCCAGGCCTTTGGTGCCATGAAGCCGTCGGGAGGGTTCTCGGCGTTCCGGGCCAGGTTTCTCATCTTGGTCCCGGAGATGAACTCGAACTCATCGTGACTAGAGGAAAGACACATACAAAGACAAGTGAATTTGGTGTACTTATGTTTTAAGCAGCAATATGTAAGATTTTCAAGTATTCATTAAACGGCTCTTTAACTGATAATTCTTTAACTGATAACAGTGGTTCAGCCGAGATATTTGGATTTAAAAATGAGTTTTCCAGCCCCTAAATCTTGTTATTGTTTTCATTTCGATGTCCCGCCCTCCACCGTTTTACCAATCAGAACGTCTGTGATCCGGGTTGCCAGAACTCACCTCGTGGAGCTAATGTCACTGGTAAAGTAACATATCAGTACTAAAAAAAAAGTCTTGTTATGATTCTCAAATCATTCATGACAAAATAAGGAATAAAAAAAGGATATCTATCGGGGTCTTTGAGAAAAAGGAGTTGGTTATAGATTTGTTGTTGACAAAACTCCTGTCTATTCAATTGTTATGGTCCCAGCTGGATTCGTCTGCATATCTGGCAACCTGAGTCAAGGAGAGTGGAAGATGTAGCAGTACCACTTTTGGCCAGATTTTTACATACTGCTCCTTTAAGGCTGGGAAGTTTTTTTAATACAGGTATGTCAAACTCAGGAAATGATTTTCGATTATCATTATGACAGAAACTTGCAGCATTGAGGGTAATGGGATACTATGGCAGGTTATACTTCATTTTAAAGCTTATTCTCTCAGAAAAACAACCATATAATAGAATCTGTTCTACGATATGAAGTTAAGTTAGGCCCAAGATTATTTTCTTTATATAAACTGTTACTTTTTTGCTGTTGGGCCCAGTTGTGATTGATTCCAAAACTACTAGAAAATAACATCCAAACAAATGTCAAATTAAATGAATGTCAATATAGAAATGAATGATAATAAAGTTAAACCACTGTGTTAACACCAGGTGCTGCATTGGGGCAGCTGCGGCTGTGAAGTGTAACCCACTTCACCCACATTGCCATGAGTGGTGTGTGGTTATTTGAAGCGTCCAAAAAAGATATATATAGAACTGATGCATCATTTTCATTATTATTAAATTATAAGGTCAATAAAATTCAACTATTTTATACATTTATTTTTAACCTTTGAAAACATCTTTATAAGAGAAAGTTATGCCTTTATGGAACTTCTATGGTCTCACATGTGGGCTACTCTGCAGGCACTTTCTTTACATGACTGCCCTCTGCTGGTGACAGTGGGGAATGGGGAATGTTGAGAAGCTTTACAACTCCGAGGCTCAAATCATTGCTTTAAGAAACTGGTAAATGTGTGCTGTTTGATGGGGCTGGACCAATATTAGATATACATATTTTGAATACTTAGTTGAGGCAGACTTTAGAGTGGTAACAGATCTGAAGCACAAGTATAATTAATTCCACAAAGCAGCTTGAAGAAGGTATATTTTTGTTTAGCACTTTTCAATCCAATGCAATCAAATACAAAACCAATATGGAATAGGAATTTGACATGGAATACAGAGAATGTTATTGATACTATAAATAGTATTTATTTGTATTGATCTTATTTATTTAACCAGGAGAGACCCACTGAGATTTCATAATTAATTTTTCAGGGGAGTCTTGACCCCAGAGAGAGGGGAGCTGATGTGCATGTTTTTAGTGGACCCACTGGAGGTGGTATAAGACCCAGGACCTTCTTGCTGAGAATATACATACAAGAATATATTTAATACAGATTTAAAAATGCATACAGGTCCTTCAAGATGTTATTGTTTTTTTTGCAAAATCCTCCACAAAACCATAAAACAACACTGTAAAACGCCCCACTGTATATAGTGTTTTAATTGTATTTCTATGCAGTACTTCCTGCTCATACACAGACCGTACTCATCACTAGGATGATAGGTACTGAAGTCTGAAACTACTAGAACTACTAGAACTCCGAAAACCTTCATTTCCACTGCTCCCATTCAAACCACAGTTTTTTTTAACCAGTTTTATTTAAGGAGATAATCTATGAGGATTTTTTTCTAAGACTGGTGAATAGGAATTGAAATGTAGAAAAAAATAATTAATGCTAGTAATGCTAATTTCTAGAACAGTAAACAGTGTGTTGCCATGGGAACTAGCACTTGATATTATCTGATTCCATAAAAACAACAACAACATAGAAATAAACTATATATTGATACAGAAAAAGTCACACATTTAGGAAGATCAACAAAGTATACACGTTGAGTAATCACACTTTCATTCATTAATTTGTGTTATCAGCAGACGTACCGCTCTTTGTCGTAGAAGTCCATTGCCTTCTTGGCCTTGTTGTAGGCTGCCACTCTGAAGGGGATGATCTCCACGGAGGTGAGCCCTGGGGCCATGGTGAGCACCTTGGCTCCGTGCGTGGGCTCGTACAGGTCCTTCTTGGTCTCGGGATGGGGCATTCCCGCTGGATCACGGCCCACGATGTAGAAGTTTGCCCCCGCGATCATTCTCGCCCTGCAATGCCACTGCACCTGAGGAGAGACGGGATCACATTCATGTCGGCGGGTTCCCAAACGACGTACGAGGATTCCACGACAGTTCATGTATTTGTGAGGTTTTAAGAACTTTAAAAACAGTTTGGTCTTTTCACACATTAGATTGTAACCCGCAGTACTATGATACACACATTTTCAGAGTTTTAGATTAAAGATGCCATACCCGGTTCATAAAAATGCTTATTACTACATACAAGTTGTATTATAATCCGTAATTTAATTGAAAACTTGAGCTCATTGATTCAGCTTGTGTATGAAGCAGTGCTAAACATTCAAACCTTGCAGAAATGGGTATAGCTCCTTGAAAAAGAGTGAGTCCCATGAGGCCCCCAGTGCAAACCAACCTCAGTGGGCCCCGCGTACATCATGGGGGAGGGGAAGATGGCCACGATGGTGCTCTTTGGGTCCAGAACGCCCTCCTCCAACACGGCGGCGTGCTGCTTCATCCTCCACTCCAGGGGCACGTCATCGTCCTTGGTCCAGCCTCCCAGCGGGTGCAGTAGCAGCACCGGGTTCTTGTAGCCTCGCTCCAGCAGGCGCCGCTTGGTGTCCTGCATGAGGAGGGCATGGCCGTTATGGACCGGGTTTCGCAGCTGGAAGGCAAAGACCGCATCTGCAAAAGAAAGAGATGGAGATTTGAACTTAGATAGATATATAGATAGATATTGATAGATAGACAATAGATAGATAGACGATAGATGAGGCAAAAGGCTTATTGAGGGAGAAGACAGAACAGAAGTATTTGAATTGTTATGTGTAGAATCTTAAAATCACCTTAAAAAGACAAAATCAGCCTTTACAAACAGTTGAGTGTCTGCTGAAACTTAATTCAGCAGACACTCAAGTTCATTGACTTCTGTCTCAGAAGACAGATACTTCCAGCCAACCCATGTGGTTTCTGGGGCTGACTGCGTCTGGCAGCAGCAGCTGATGAAGCTCGTCATGTGTGACATCACAAGACGCTTCTGAGGAAGACGGAAGTATCCGTCGAAACATGTCAAGGTAACAACATCGCTAACCTACTATTGCCTGGTAAAGAAGAACCAAATACTTTTGATTATTTGTAGAGTCCTGGATCACAGCAGCAGTCTAAAGGGGTGGGATTAAATACGTTTTTTCTTCTTCCCACTCCTTTTCAGGAAGAATTACATGGCCAAGTTTATACCGTACATTTATTGTTTATACATTTTTTGTCTATAATGTTTTGTGTTTATTGAGTTTTGTTTTTTTGCACTATATGATTTATATTATTTAACTGCATTACCTTATTTACCTTATTTACACGGGATTACCCATGTCCATAAATGTTCATAAATGTCCTTCTTCATAACACCACATCCTGAACCCAGTAAACTTTTGAAGTAAACATTATGTAACAGCAGCAGTAAATGTGTGTGAGAGTGCAGGCGTATCCACCATCACAATGAAAAGTTATTACAAGGTTACCACTATGGTCACCATAGTGACCACTATGCACGGCCTCGGAGCTTCTTCTACTTAGAAAACATGTTATCTTATGCATAGTTGTGAGAAAGAAAGGGGAGGGGTCCTCTCATATTTCACATTTCTGTCAGAAAACACAACTTTTTCTTCTTCCCACTCTATTTCGAGCTGATAAACTGTAAATGTAATTGTTCAATGTAGCTTCTGTGTTTGCATGTATATATCTATGCATGTGAATGTGTGTACCTTCAAACAAGGTCAGATAATCTAGGGGTAACATTGGACTCAGACATATATTTTAATAGCCACATCAAATCAGTAACATCAGTAGCTTTCTGCCATCTAAAAAACATTGCTAGGATCAAAAACATAGTGTCTAAAGCAGACTTGGAGATTCTTATCCATGCATTTGTCTCCAGTAGGTTAGACTACTGCAATGGCCTGCTCACAGGTCTGTCCAAACAGGCTGTAAAACAGCTGCAGTACATTCAAAATGCAGCAGCGCGAGTCCTGACTAGAACCAGGAAGTACGACCACATTAGTCCAGTCCTCAGGTCTCTGCACTGGCTTCCTGTGGCTCAGAGAATAGACTTTAAAACAGCTCTGCTTGTGTACAAGTCTCTCCATGGCCTCGCACCAAAATATATTAGTGACATGTTAGTCCCATATGAACCAGCCCGGACTCTGAGGAGCACAGGGACTGGACTCCTGTTAGTGCCCAGAGTCAGAACTAAACATGGGGAGGCTGCTTTTCAGGTTCATGCTTCTAAAATCAGAAACAATCTTCCTGAAGATGTGAGACAGGCCTCCTCTCTGACAATGTTTAAGACAAGGTTAAAAACGGTTCTGTTTAGCTGTGCATACAACTGAGGGATTTTTCTTTTTAATGAACTGTGATTATTTATGATTTTAATGCTTTCTTGTTTTGTTCAGCACTTTGAGTTGCCTTGTGTATGAATTGTGCTATACAAATAAACTTGCCTTGCCTTGCCTACTATATACACATATGTACTGTATGCAAAAATATGATGCAAAAATGATGCAAAAATAAGAATAATATTTCAGACTTATTTGTTATCTCCCTCCCTTTAGCATTATGCATATGTGCTGTGGACAACACCATTCCAGCAATGATGATAATAGTCAGAAAACACTGTTGGCGAGACAGTGGGTGAGGGGGCTTCCATCTTGAGGGAATAATCTTTTTGGCGGCCAGGAGAACCCTTTAATTTGCCCAGAGTCATCCAGATGGAGGACCAGAAACGACCTGAGCAGTCCCAGGGAACTCGTAAATAATTATTTGGTGGATAACTTTTTCAGTCACTATATTTGCTTGACGCCTGGAATTGAAATCTACCTCATTGGGGAATCTCTATCACTTGGTTTTAGGCACGTTTACATCAAACTGTCTCTCAACCATTTGGCAAAGGCCTATGATTAAAAGAGTAGGAGTTCAAAAACAAAAATGTGTGCTCCTTAATCTTAGAAAATCCAAATAAAAATCAATATTTACAATGCTTTCCACAAGTTTTGAACATTAAAGGGTTGAAGAGAAGTTGCCTTTTTTTTTGTACAAACCTGCTTTCATGGCTTTGAACTTCTGCTTGAGTTCCTGAGGCGTGAGGCGGTACTGGTCGAGTCCGTCGTTCCATCGGATTCGCTCCAGAACCTCCAGCTCTCCTCCGACCAGCCAATCTCCTCCCTCCATCACCATCTGAGAGGTCACACATGTTACAGCTCATTCACGCTCTGTGCTCAGGAGTAAGCTTCAGGATTTGTTTTGGCATTGGACAAATCGATGTTTCTCACGCCACAAAGCCACCATTAAATCAAGAATATACAGATTACCAAACAATTCCCAGCACAAAGGCATTCACAGCAGCAACACAATTGGTCTTAATTGTCAATATTACATCATTTGTCTATTTTTGTGTGTTATTGGAGTCTTTTTAAAATGTGTTCGTGCATAAATTGCTTTTGCTTTTAGTCACAGAACTAAGACAAATTTGGGAATTATTATGCTCTGTAGATGTTTTATTTTCAAGCATCATAGAAAATTGTTAATGATAAACCACCTTAACTACAAATACATAATCCCATATCAAACAAACCTATTCAAGAGCTTTATATGAGTCCACACACATTGGGAAGAACACAGCAGTGACTTTGGACAGATCAGATCCACGGCCTTTAGTGTCGTAGAAAGACAATGCTTATTTTCCATTAGAAGCTTTTAGGACATACAATTAAATATATTTGTTTGTTGTTTGTAGTCTGTTTGTGGTTTTATGTCAGTGGGATGAGCGTTCCACAGTCTGACTCCGTTAGAAGAGAAGGGGGACTGTCCAAAAGATGTCCTGGAACCAAATACGAGCCATGCTTTGCTTGTTGTAGTGGGGCACGTTTCAATGTGTACAAATATGACTGTGTAATAAAACCGGCTACTGTCCACTGCAGTGTGAGTAAGATAAGATAACTTTATTGTTCTCTTTAATCTTATTCACTTTAATAACTCCAATTGTTGTAGTTTAAGTTTTTCGATGAGAATCTGTATGTGTCATCTCTGGACATATTGTCAAAGTTGCATTAGGGGTTAGGCAGTATGAGTCTAAACCCCTTTCAGTCAGCCATTATCCAGCATAACATTTTTAGTATACAGTACACGTTTAGTTTTTTTAAATTGCAAAATGTGATCTTTGGAAACATGTAAGTTCTAATGTACATAATGACCGATGAAATATACTACTACGACTACTACTCCTAGTACCTTGATGTAGGGGTGCTGGGGGCAGATGGTGCCCCACTGCCGAGCACAGCGCTCTTCTTTGCGGTGCTCGTAGAACTCTGGCGACCTCAGGATGGCCACCAGGGATCCCTGGTACTCCAGAGCCAGAGCAGGATAGCCGTCCAGCTCCTGTTTGGTCTCAGTGCTCACGGCCAGCACGATGGGGATGGACTGGTTGATGGCTTCATCTAATAACAAAAAAATGCATTCAATTAAAGCTTTCCCTAAACAAGGACATGAGGCAGAGGAAAGGGCTGTTTTCATTACCATCCAGGAGGCTTCCAAAGTGCATGACCTGGAGGAACGGTTTCTCCCTCATGAAGCCTCTCAGAGGACTGGCCCAGCCCTCGGACAACACCTGCACCCACTGCAGATCCAGCTGTGGCAGACAACAGTGTTTGAACATGTTAGTACTAGTGCCATCATCACCTGCTGCTATGCATCTGGCTCTAACATAGTTAGGCCCATTGTTGTGATATATATATATATACATACTGTACCTTTAAGTCTGTACAAGTCTGTGAATGCCCGAAAATACCAGTAAATGTAAATATTACAGTAGATCCTGCTCACTTGGGTACAGGTTCAGCTGGTATTCTCAGTAGTGTAGACTCAGAAGTGTTAAATGCTATATCCAGACACCCCCACAATGGGTTTTGAGTCATGCAAACATATGCGCTAAACTGATTTTTATCGATTATTTAAAAGTTTAAAAACTCATATTTTTTTTAATGAACAATTTTATGTTTGGAGCAAATGAGTTCAAGTAACCTTTATTGTGAAGAAGAAACAATATTTGTAAAAGTTGGAAAGAAAAAAGTAGAGAACAGGCGTATACTGGTCTCACTGGCCATACTAAAAAGTACACTGACTGGATCTTTTCTCTAATGAGTCAAGAACCAACAACTGAAACTGACTGATCCGTGTGCCAAAAAACCCTAAACCCTAAAAGAGTTAGTGAGTTAGAAGGAAGTAGGTGAAGCCAACTGGACTTGTGTAACACAATTGGCTTGATGTGTGCTGTAGAAAAGTAAAGAAGGATACAGGATGTACTGCAGCTCACCGTGTACATGCATGACAGAACCGGTCTCTTTTAAAATATGCAAATGTACCTTTCTCTGGTCTGTCTGGTTCTATGTTTAGATTATTTTAATGTTACTGTTCCATCAGTGGCCTGTGGCAGGTAACACAGCTAGTGAGTTTTTTACAGCAATGAATTATTCATGATTTCAAACATAATGGTTTTGGTACAATTCAATCATTTCACAGGCTCACTTTGATTTATATATGTAGCATACAATAGGAGCTGTCAAAATGACTGCTCAAGGAGTTCTAGTAGTTTCAGTATTCTGGGAGTTGTGCCATGTTACAAGTTTGTCACTGATAATAATTCACTTGTCACTTAGTCACTAGTCACTTTACCTATTGTTGTTATTATTACTACATTATTACATATCCATCCATTTGATATTTTTGTTGTTCACTAGTCACTTTACTTGTTACTATTGTTTAATCTGCTCATATTCTCTTCGCTTAAGTACAATATACACATCTATAAATACCTCCGAGCCAAGTGCAATTATAGCTCCAGAGTTTATTTTATTTTATTCCATTTTACCATTGTATTATGTTATTATTTTTGTTCTACTGTCTATTATTCTAAATAATAGACAGTGTTATTTAGAATAATAAATATTCTAAATGTGTCTGCAATCTGAGTGCTCTTATTTCCTTCTTTCTCTGCTGTAATGTGCGCAACGATGGCACTGAAATGTCCCCACTGTGGGACGAATAAAGGAATATCTTATCTTATATAACTTGTAAAACGTCTACAGAACCATGTGTCGTACCTTGGTGATGCTGATTTTGGGAAGTGTCTTTGCCTCGGCCAGAACGAGGGACAGTTTGTTTTCTGGGACAAAGAGCTCGGTGACCTCCTCCAGCATTCCACTGGGGACAATATTCTGAGAAGAGAGGAGATAAAACAACATGAAGGGAGATAAAACGGGAAAACAGAGGAAATTACATCCAAAACAGATTAGGTTATTATTGTAACATCAACATAAAACATCAAAACATCTCTCAGTCAACGGAGAGATAAACATGTGAAGTTAATGGTTCTTTAAAGCTGGGGTGTCTGACTTTTAAACCATTTGTGTATCTTGTGCCCAGACCTGCATGTGAAAGCCAGAACCTCTGAAGCTAAGTTGGGCATGGCTTGGTTAATATTATGGTTGTAGTTGTGTCTTTAGGCAAGACACTTCACCCACAATGCCAGAATGAGTCTGGTGTGTGTGTGTGTGTGTGTGAATGGCTTGTGGTGGTCGGTGCACCCGATGGCTCATACTGGTTGCCTCGCTTCTGTCAGTGTACCACAGGGCAGCTGTGGCTACAGTGTTAGTTTATCACTGCTGTGTATGGAGTGAAAGAATAACGACAAGCGTCTTTGAGTGTCCTGAAAAGTGCTCTAGTTTGATTCAACCACTAGTTTCCATTGTATGTCTAGCCTCGTTCACATCTCAGCCAATCAGCTCTCAGCCCAAAGTGTCAAATAGTGACTCACAAGGCTCTTTCTTACACATATTTGAAAGACTACTAAGATGAAGACAACTTGCACTGGTCTGATTTGTTCACAAAAAAAAAGGTATCCCAGCTTACATACTGTATGTGTGATGGTAGATACATCGTTGTGTGTGTGTGTGGGTGTGTGTGTGTGTTTGTGTGTGTGAGTGTGCGTCATAGTAACTCACGTGCTCTCGCAGCAGATCCACCATCTGATGAAGGCACTCGGCCACCCCCAGCTCTGCGGTCTTCAGCACCAGATCCGGAGCCTCTGGGCGCTCGTAGTCGGAGTCAATCCCAGTGAATCCTGCCAGATAAAGACTCGTTATAAACACTGAAGAATTATGTCAAATTATAAAAAAGTTTTGGGCTCAATGGGAAACAAACTTATTTCTCTTTTTGACTCACACTTGGATAGTTTTGAGTTTGGTTTGTGGGACATTTATAACAGTCGCTAATGAAAAATACTATTGACAAAAGCTGTTTTATAACTTTCTTCTCCTGGTTCACATGTAAGCAACGGGCTTTAAAACTATTTGATTTAATTGATTTCTACCTTAATATATGTAGTCAGACTTTTCACACTGAACTAGGTCATGAGGCGGGTTAAATGGTGGATACAAATCTCTCCCTCTAGATTCTTTTACTTGTACCTTTGATCTCTCCAGCCCGGGCTTTCCGGTACAGCCCCTTCACGTCGCGCTGTTCACACACTTCCAGAGAGGCGTCGATGAACACCTCAAAAAACGGCAGGTTGCTTGCCATGTGGATTTTCTTGGCCTCCTCGCGGTCCTGGAATAATAATAACAACAACATTTAGGCTGAACGTGGATTACTGGATATGATGTGGGTTTGTCTGTTTGTTGTGAATCCCCAATAAGTTGACACTAGTCTCTGGGATGTAAAAAATTAAAGTATCAATAAAAAAAATTACGCCGTATAACGAAATTATTTGTTATACAGCGTGATGACAAAAAGTAACAAAAATAAAATCATAATACAAGTGTGTTATCCAAGGACACAACAGACACTGCACTGGTTATAATTCAACTCAATTTAATGTATTCTTGTATAATCCTGAATCACAACAGTAGTCATCTCAGATTAAAAGCAAAACCGTATCACATGTTGGGAAAAGGAGGAATTTGAAAGACAAAAAATATCACAGCTGACAACTCTTTATCTTGTCCTTTCCCCCACTTTACTCTGGCTTCTAGCTTTGCATGTGGTCCTCTGCGTCTCTATCTCAATTTGATTTATTGATTGACTGCGGAACCTTCCGCAGTCAACCATTGGTTTTGTATTTCTTTATTCCGTCATTTTTTTTGACACGTTTCACAGCTTTCACATTTTCAACAATTTCCACAAGTTATACATCAAAACGTTCCACATGTTTGGGAGATTATTGCTATTACTTTTGGGACTTCAGCGATTTCCGGTTTTTCCGCAATCGGACACAAATCTGCATTGAGAATTCTGCAATGCATTTTAATAGGCCCATGCATTTTAATAGGACTTCAGCTCTTTCAGACATTTCTACAGTTTCAATGATTCAACAGTTTCAAGGATTCAACAGTTTCAAGGATTTCAGCAGTTTCAAGATTTCAAGAGTTTCAAGGACTTCAACAGTTTCAAGGACTTCAGCAGTTTCAAGGACTTCAGCAGTTTCAAGGACTTCAGCAGTTTCAAGGACTTCAGTGTAATTATGCAACCTAATAGGGATTTTTCCATGTAAACCAGTATAATGCAACTTAATAGGGATTTTTCCATGTAAACCAGTATAATGCAACTTAATAGGGTTTTTTCATGTAAACCAGTATAATGCAACTTAATAGGGTTTTTTTCATGTAAACCAGTATAATGCAACTTAATGGGGATTTTTCCATGTAAACCAGTATAATGCAACTTAATAGGGGTTTTTACATGTAAACCAGTATAATGCAACTTAATAGGGTTTTTTCCATGTAAACCAGTATAATGCAACTTAATAGGGATTTTTCCATGTAAACCAGTACAATGCAACTTAATAGGGATTTTTTCATGTAAACCAGTATAATGCAACTTAATAGGGTTTTTTTCATGTAAACCAGTATAATGCAACTTAATGGGGATTTTTCCATGTAAACCAGTATAATGCAACTTAATAGGGATTTTTCCATGTAAACCAGTATAATGCAACTTAATAGGGTTTTTTTTCATGTAATCCAGTATAATGCAACTTAATGGGGATTTTTCCATGTAAACCAGTATTATGCAACTTAATAGGGATTTTTCCATGTAAACCAGTATAATGCAACTTAATAGGGATTTTTCCATGTAAACCAGTACAATGCAACTTAATAGGGATTTTTCCATGTAAACCAGTATAATGCAACTTAATAGGGTTTTTTTCATGTAAACCAGTATAATGAAACTTAATGGGGATTTTTCCATGTAAACCAGTATTATGCAACTTAATAGGGATTTTTCCATGTAAACCAGTATAATGCAACTTAATAGGTTTTTTTTCATGTAAACCAGTATAATGCAACTTAATAGGGTTTTTACATGTAAACCAGTATAATGGAACTTAATAGGGGTTTTTACATGTAAACCAGTATAATGTAACCTAATAGGGGTTTTTACATGTAAACCAGTATAAAGCAACTTAATAGGGATTTGTACATGTAAACCAGTATAATGCAACTTAATAGGGTTTTTTCATGTAAACCAGTATAATGCAACTTAATGGGGATTTTTCCATGTAAACCAGTATAATGCAACTTAATGGGGATTTTTCCATGTAAACCAGTATAATGCAACTTAATAGGGATTTTTCCATGTAAACCAGTATAATGCAACTTAATAGGGATTTTTCCATGTAATCCAGTATAATGCAACTTAATAGGGTTTTTTTCATGTAAACCAGTATAATGCAACTTAATGGGGATTTTTCCATGTAAACCAGTATAATGCAACTTAATAGGTTTTTTTTCATGTGAACCAGTATAATGCAATTTAATAGGTTTTTTTTTACATGTAAACCAGTATAATGGAACTTAATAGGGTTTTTTCCATGTAAACCAGTATAATGCAACTTAATAGGGATTTTTCCATGTAAACCAGTACAATGCAACTTAATAGGGATTTTTCCATGTAAACCAGTATAATGCAACTTAATAGGGTTTTTTTCATGTAAACCAGTATAATGCAACTTAATGGGGATTTTTCCATGTAAACCAGTATTATGCAACTTAATAGGGATTTTTCCATGTAAACCAGTATAATGCAACTTAATAGGTTTTTTTTCATGTAAACCAGTATAATGCAACTTAATAGGGTTTTTACATGTAAACCAGTATAATGGAACTTAATAGGGGTTTTTACATGTAAACCAGTATAATGTAACCTAATAGGGGTTTTTACATGTAAACCAGTATAAAGCAACTTAATAGGGATTTGTACATGTAAACCAGTATAATGCAACCTAATAGGGATTTTTCCATGTTAACCAGTATAATGCAACCTAATAGGGATTTTTCCATGTAAACCAGTATAATGCAACCTAATAGGTTGCATTATACCACCAGACCAAGACCCAAACGAAGACTCAGACCACCACCAGATAATGACCACAGACCAGGTTTCCTTAGTTACAGGAACCAAATTGTTTCAGCGGTGAGGGGATTTTTCAGTTTCAAGGACACTTTCAATACATTCAGTAGTTTCAAGGATTTCAACTGTTTAAGAATTTAACCAGTTTCAAGGATATCAGGAGGTTCAAGGATTTCAGGAGTTTCCACACTTTCAACAGTTTCCAGGTTTAAAAAAGTTTCAAGGATTTCAGGAGTTTCAATGTTTCAACAGTTTCAAGGATTTCAGGAGTTTAAAGGTTTCAACAATTTCAAGGACTTCAGGAGTTTCAAATATCTATCAAGTATTTTAACAGTTTCAAGGCCTTTTAAAGGATTTCAAGGATTTTTTTTAGCAGATTTCCACATTAGATCTGTTCCGCAGTCAATCGCAATGGCTTCAGCCATTGCAAGTTTCTAGTTTTTGACTTGCTCTTGTTTGTGTAACGTGCCATGTACACCGACATTAAAATGGATTATCACCAAAAGTATACACTATGCGGTATTCAGTCTCTGTACATTCTACTGCTTTCAAGTCGCCTTGAAGCTGCCACGAAGGATATTAGGCAGGCATTTTGACACACATGTAAAGAAGTAAGCAGTAAATCAACACACACTGTTTCACTGTCAATACGCAAATGACTGTCCCATGTGTGACTCGTGTGAAGCTTTAGAACCGTCTTCACCTGATGGCGCACATGTAAACAAGCACGCTGTAAAAGAAGCTTTTATTGCCGTCTAAATTTATTTGTATTCCGTCTGTATTTTAGTAGGAGTTTTTACAGGGAACAAGACTAGGTCACGAGGCAGCTGAAAGATGTTTTGACGCACCAGCCCCGTGTCGCTTAGTGAGGAAGAGGCGCTCTGAGGGTTTCGGGCCAAATTCCAGTTTTTTTTTGTTAAGTGGAAATGAGGCTATAGATTATAATATGCTTGCCATGGGGAGGAAGAAAAGAAGATATATTGAGTGTCACCTCTCTGCTTGACAGGGGAGTTTTTGTTAACACACATTTACACGCAAACACAGACACGTGCACACACACACACGCACACACACATGCCTGGCCTTTTGTCTCGCTCATTTTTGTCATAGGCCAAGAGCCAGCTTGTGTCACTGAGAGAGATATATTGTAATAAACAGTCGTATTGAATCTGCTATTTTCTACTGATACAGTTACATATATAGTATATATATATATTTATTTTTAATTTTTTTGTCATTCAGAGCTATGATGTGGCCATAGGACCCAAACATTGGCCAAACTCCTGCCTCCATTGTGAAGAAAATGAACAGACAACAGACAGTTGTGGAAGCACATTTATGGTCCCTGTCCAACTTTTTCTGTTAATGTAGTTTATTTCTGAAATGTGAGTTTATGAAATTATCTTTTATTTTTGAAATATGATGCTGGTCCTGAGAAGTGGGCATGGTTACCATAGCAACACAATGCACCAATTAGCATTTAGCATTTTTTTTGCTGTATTTCAAGTGATAAAAATGAATTTAAAAGAAAAATAATGAAAGACTGAACCTTTTTTGGGGGGAATTTCTCAGATGTCCATTGGTTTGAATGGGAGCAGTCAAAATTGCAGCACTGGGAGTTCTAGCAGCTTATTCTATTCTCACAATATTATCTTATCATTATTATTATTTTCAGATTATTACTTTATGGTTATTTCTATTGTAGAATACCAGACAAGCTACTGTGACAACGCAATTACCCTTGTGAATCAATAAATCTCAAAAGTCTAAGTCTAACTGTCCTGGTGTTAAATGATGAGTGGATAGAGTGCAAAAATAACCCAAACACTAAATTTTGCGTTTACAAACCATGGAGAATGGGGAGATGAAGCTGGTGACGCAGACCAGGCCGCCGTCCGCAAACATCTTAGCCACCTGAGCGACCCGGCGGATGTTCTCCACGCGGTCCTTTGCCGAGAAGCCCAGGTCACTGTTCAGGCCGTGCCGGATGTTGTCTCCGTCCAGAGAGTAGCAGGGGATGCCATGGGACACCAGGTAATCCTCCAGGGCAAAGCTCAGGGTGGTCTTCCCAGCCCCCGACAGCCCTGAACACAGCAGAGGAGCAGAGACGCTACATTTAAATCACAGCTAAATACAGCAGGGATCATTACAATTCAAACTATTTTTGTTTATTTTGTATTCTCAGTCCTGGATTTGCAGCCGGAGTCATGGATCTACAGCTTCAGTCCTGGATCTACAGCCTCAGTCCTGGATCTACAGCCTCAGTCCTGGATCTACAGCCTCCGTCCTGGATCTACAGCCTCAGTCCTGGATCTACAGCCTCCATCCTGGATCTACAGCCTCCGTCCTGGATCTACAGCCTCCGTCCTGGATCTACGGCCTCAGTCCTGGATCTACAGCCTACCCATCCCTGGGAGCTGATCCCTCTCTCAATATGGACCCCCCGAGGTTTCACACTTTTCTCTCGTCTGTTTTCTATTTGATAATCCAGGACATGGACATTTATGGACATTGGTCATCCCACTACCCTTTTGGTCTGAGCAGTAGCCTATACAGTAAGTGCACACATTAATACATTATAGCTTGTTTTTGAGCGCTTCTGATCCTTACTCAAAAACATGCACGAAGAACCCTATATATATATATATATATATATATATATATATAAATATTTGTGAGAAGATTTGGATTTGGCATTAATTAGGGTCATTTTCTACTGATGGAAATACACGCCACCTGTCTCCTGTGCTGCTTTACTCTCCTCACTGTTATTCCCATCCTGAGAGAACTGGTTAATTTAGAAAACGGTACTAGTTTAGCATAAGCTCCTCCTCAAAGAAAGTTCTTTTTATTTGAATGGAAGCCGGATTCCACTCATCAATTTGTTCTCATGTACGAGACAGGACAATCAGTCACAGAACACACAGTGGTGAAAGCTGTTCTACCGATCAATAATTTAACAATCCAAACTGAGTGGATTGTAGAGACTTTTGACTTTATTTGTTGGGATAAAACTTATTGGAAATATTAGCAGTATTTCTAAAACATCTACACATTTTCCCGTGTACTTTATGAGCATCCAGAAAACTATACCGATAATTAATTTGATTTAAAACAATAAAAAACAAGGTCTGGAACACTATAATTTTCTTTCCTGTGTTTTATTGCTTGATTTTGTCTGTATTTTTGCTGTCTGTTTTTGTGCTTCATGGACTCTTTGTGTGTCTAAATTAAAGAGATACAAGGTGTAGTCTAACCTCAGTGACTCAAATCTTTGCTTTGAGCTCATACTGTTGTTGTTCCGCCTTTTGTTCAAACACAAAACCCACAAACGTATCTGATGTATGAACTATGAATGCATCCGGCAGCACAAGTTTGATAAATAAACACAATTAAATATCATTACCTGTCAACCAAATAGTGCATCCTCTGAAGCCGGACCGCGCCCCCACGACCTGGCCTCTCTTGCTCCGGCTGACGTGGTGCGCCTGGAAGAATACGTTGGTCGACTTCAGCGCCTGGAGCACAGAAGAATGGAATCGTCAAAGTCCGGAAGAACCAGTCTCGCACAAAAGGATGACCCAGTGGTTTAAAGATTAAGTAAAGTATCATTAGTGAAAGGCACACACCTCACGCGAGCACGGAGCAGGAAGAACACGCTGTAGTTTTATAGTTTTATAGTATGAACTGGTTTAGGCAATGTGGAGTTTGGAAATATGCATACACTGCAAAAAGGGCTCAAATATGATGTAATAAATGCTTAAATCAAGTGGATTTTATCCTAATTTGAGAACAGACAAAGCCATTTAGTATTATTTCAAAAACTGTTCCTTAATTTGTCATTCTAAGGGAGACATTTCTTCTTTGCACATGTCCCATTGGCAAATCTTTTGGCTTATTTTTCATAACCTTTTGCAGTGCAGAATAACATAGTTGACATATTTGACAAGATGAGGTACTAGTACATTATAAAAACTGTATGGCTAAAATATGAATCATTTTGAATACATGTTGAACTCATGTTTTTCTTTTTACTATATAACTATAAGTAGTGACACAGTTTTTGTTTTATTTATTTATTTTGTTTTAATAGCAGATTTATTGTCTGCTTCGAAAGTCAATTGTATTGTGGTAGTAGTAGCAGCAGCTCATTTTTTTGGTCATTATTATAAAATTTTAGGTCACATGTTTTCAAAGATCTTATACTTTTTAAAATAAGAATCGTGGATATTAAGGATTTCTATGCTAAATAATACGATTGGCTTGTGAAGCACTTTGGGTTACAGTGTATGAATTGTAAGAAAAACAGTAAGTTTCTTAAAGAGAACAGAGGATGCTGATACTGCTGCTTGGGCGTGAAAGCAAAAAAAAAATAGATAGATAGATCATACATAAAAAAATACTTTATATTTGGATGGAAAAGCATGGATAACCACACTGTATTCACTTAGAACCATAGCTAACCCCTACAGACCAGGTTATGGCTACTTTAAACCACATGCAACAAAGTAACTAGGTATTTAGTATTTTTAAAGGAGAATGTTAAGAAATTTGTGGTTTCAAAAATAAGGAGTATTTATGGCAAGAACTGAAAAAAAAAAAAACACAATACTTTATTAAGAATACGTATGTGCCATGTTTGGACTTGGCTTGAGATTTGGGATTAAATATTTGCTTTGAAGTCACAATTTTACAGCTAAATGCCACTGTTGTCTGAATAGAAACGACTGAAACTCCCCCAATATTTTGCACACAGACTTGGACACTGGGTCTGATCACCAACAGTATTACAACGTTTCCGCATTTTTGCCTCAAAAAAAAAAAAAAACTTTAATCAGCTTCAGCTCAAGCTCCAGCTCCATACCCTGCACTTCTTAATGCAAGCCTTTCTCTACAGTCATCTTACACCGGGGCCTGGACCGTGAGGGGGGTTTGGTGGTGACCGGAGCGCAGATGGAATGAATGGGCCGGTCTTGATAGTGGGACAGAGTACCCAGTGTGTGCTGCCTGGACGTCCCAGCGCTGATGTGGCACTCGCTGACCCTCTGCCCGCCCACCACAACTCTGTACTTCTCCACTGCTTTTCACCGTTTCAGTGTTGTTTGTTTGTACATACCATAATCGCACGGCAAGAGGATGGTATGTAAAGTCACACTAATGGCCACACCCGATGTTCTCGCAATCCAATTTGTTTGCAGTCATTTTTGTCTAACTTATATTTGAGGATTGCCCATGAACACACGCATCACGCCACCATAAAAAAAAATGGAATACCATATTGTTCAGTCTTAAAACATTGTTGGCATAATAAGTTGTGTATTATTATTTATCTCTTTTTTTTTAGCCAAGTCTCACTCTCTTCTGTAATGTTTGTCTTGATCTTAAATTATATAAAAAAAAGACGTATTGAAAGAAATGTTGTTGTCTCTCTTGCCTTCAGATGTCGCTTTTTCACACACTTCCAAATTCAATTAACTACAAAAGATACATCACATGTTACAAACAAGTTACAACCAGTTTGGTCAGTTAAGCTTGCTACAGTTTCTCCAAGTATTTTTGAGTCACTATTTGTCAGTGCGTAAGTCTATATTTATACAGCGTCTCTCTCATACAGACAGTTGTGGGCATTTATCCTCTCACTCAACACAGAAGAGTCGCATATGTACAATGCCAAACCAATTTGACTTGTCTTTAGAGGTATAGGGAACCCGGATCACCCGGAGGAAACCTACGCAGACAAGGGAATAACATCCAAACTCCACACATAAAGGTCTGGAGGTGGAATTGCAAAAAAAAATGAGCTTAGGCTTCCGTGCCGCAGAGAATGTCATCGGATTGTATGACAAGGTTAAGTTTTCTGTGTATTGAAAGTTAGGTACCCAAGCTTTAAGCGCGCATCCACAACCGCATCCATCCCAGTACATGAGCTACTTAAAGCCATCTTCACAAAACGTGTTATTGCATTGGCATTTGCCGCATTTGTCCATATCCACATAATGCACATTGAATGAGTCTTTGGAAAAAAGCCAATCAGAAATGTATATGTGCTCAATTTTTCGCTTTTTCCTCTGGCAAAAAGTTGGGGAGAATGTTACTTACTTTTGCCGTGTCAGTTGTGCCATCGCAATTACAGGTTTATAACTCGTAATAACACTAGAAACACAAGGGCAGAAAAAATTCCATGTCATACATACACGTCTGCTGAGTGATCTCTTCCATCGGCACGCAGTGGAAAGTCTGCGAACTCAACTTGTTCCTTGTATTTTTATATCTCTCCTCTCTCTCCCCACAGTAGCCTCTTTCTCCCCCTCTGCAGCTCGCCCGATGAATGGGACAAATTGACGGCTGCGCTGCTCCAACAAGCGGTCTATTCAGAACCAAGTCTTCCAGAATCACACCTGGGGGTTTTTACGCACGCATAAATACCAGTGCCATCGTGCCCTGCTCTCAAGAATAATACTTTTTGTCCCAATTGATGCTACTTTAGAACATTGTTAACAACTTTGAAGCAACTTTCGAGCGTGCGTTTTGTCCAGCACTGATATTTCTTTTGGGGGAGTATTTTTACGCGACGGATTTGAACGCGCCCAAGTGCATCTGACCCAAAGTCCTGCTGTAATTCTGAAACAGCCATCCTCCATACATCTCACTCACCGTACGAGGCTTTTTCACTCCCGACATTTCTTCCGTGTTGTTTCAGCTTACTGAAACACCCGGAACCTGCACGGGGCCAAAGTCTGGGACAAACAAACAAAAAATCACAGCCCGCGGGAACTTGGGGCGAGTCTCTCAAGTTTTGATTGCGGAGTGAGGGAAGGAGGCGAGGGGCTTTAAAAGGGGACCTCCAAGACACGTAGCATTCCTTTTGGCCCAGCCTCCGGTCCTCCTCTCCACCACACGCAGCCAATGCGAGGCCAAGACGACAGGGAGAAGGGGCCGAGCTGAGAAAGTTGCGAGGCTGCTGCTGCTGCTGCTGCTGGATGGGGGTGAGGGAGGAGGGGAGGCTGGGAGGAAGATTTGCGGAGAGATAAAGATAAGATTCTGCGTAATTTTTGTGCTACTGTCAGGGGGCGACAGTGGTCCAGTTTGTAGAGCATTGGTCTTTGGGTCTGGTGAGTTCCAAATTCCTCTATGAGACCTATACTCTGCTCTGCTGTCGTTGTGTCCCTAGGCAAGCCACTTTGCCTGAAGCCCCAGCTGAAAGATGGAGCAGTCATTCTCCCATGGAACCAGAACGCAACAGGTACTGTGAAGATTGAGTGGCAGCTTGGATTGCCATCTCCCAACACAGAAATGATTTAAAAATCATGAATGAAGTGGATGAAAATAAATGAATAAAAGAATGATCTCAAAACATTCAGAGCCACTGTGTTCCAAAGTGCATTAAACGTTGAGGAGATCAAGTTACACTATTGTACATCACCTCCTATTTACATGACCAAAAGTTACACTATTTTACATGGTTTTTGGTGGTATAGGGAGAGCGAAGGAGCAAGAGGAGACCCGCACAAACTCAACTCAAATACCCTGTTCCAACTGGGATTCTAACCTGCAGGACCACTGTGCCACCGGGCTGCACCTGGGTATATATGAAGTTCATAAACTCAAGGTGAAATGTACCTTTTAGTGTTTGTTGATTGAATAGAATCACTCAGGCAACTCATTATCAAGACCTTTCCACAAATCGGACTACACAGGATTTTCCGGTTTGTCTGCTGTAGTCTCTTCTTTCGGCGTGGAACAGTGAGCTGGTTTGATGATCTGACTGTATACAGTAGTAATCACATGATCAAAGATTGTGAAAACTCTCTGGTGAAATCATGCATGAGTCAGCAGTGAGACGGGCTCGGAACGTCATCAGAGACTACAGGAATGTCCTCCACTCTCAATATGAACTGATGCATTCTGGGAGGAGTTTCAGGATTCCCGAGTGTAAAGACGATAGGTTTAAAAACTCTTTTGTGCCTCAATCCATAAAACTGTCAAACTTGATTGGGTTTAGTGGGTTTTTGAGTTGTTCCTTGTCGATACAGGTTTATTAACATTTCCGGACAGTGGTTCTCCCGCTCCATGGACCAACGACTCCTATTCTCTGGTTTGTTGTTGACAACTCTGTAAAGTCCTCCGAGACGACTGCTGTTGTGATTTATGGAAACACATTGAATTGAATAAAACATCAATGAGTGAGTGCACAGATGTGTTATGTTTTGTCCTATGTGTTTCTTTCTTTTCTGTATGTGGTCCTAATTGCTTGTTTGCAATTGACGTCACGTCCGCCTCAATACTTATGCGTATCACGAAGTGGTGGTCAGCCGAGCTAGTTGTTTACTAGAGCAGCGTGTTGAATATGCCTTTTGCATGTGTTGTTTCAGTTTGTTCTAAGCCAGGGGTCTAAAACCGGTTCCAGAAAGGGCCATGTGGCTGCAGGTTTTACTTCCAACAGTTCCAAACTGAGCAGGAGCACAGATGACTCCACCCATTTCCTCAGGTGAGTCCAGTTTTAACCTGGAGATTTGAGGAAATGGGTGCTTCTGCCCTTTCTGGAACCGGTTAAAGACCCCTGTATTTACCGATCGAATCGCGAAACCAATAAGGAATACTTCAGGGCTCCTCGTGAAGAGATTAATAAAGAGCCTCGCAGTAAGGACTTTACGAAAAGACACAGAGAAAAGTGACTCGCGAACATTTCACTAGAAAACGCTTTTACATCGAAGGATTATTTATTTACCCAGCCATGCAGTCACAATGCGCAGTTATTACATCCCCAACTTTCAGGTATGAGTTGGCGTTTTAGATAAACACTGAGAATGTTTGACTTAAAAAGAACACTGCACACATGTTGACGCATCGTTTTGTTTTGTTCATTCAACAATCGTTACTTACACAGCTCTTTACAATGCAGGATTTGCACCTTAACTCCGAGTTCCTTAACCGACCCACAGACGAAAAAGTTTAGGCATCCATGCTTTTGTTTAGCAGTGCAAAAGCTTGATTGTAACACTAAATAGTTTGAGATATCCGGGAACTGCACTGCCGTTTTTTTTTTTTCTAACTCGCAAATCAAATCATTCTTGGATAACACATTAGGATCTATACTGTTACACAATTTGACCAAAGCATGTAGCGGAAAAATACTGCCTTGTGCATATTGTTAGACTGATGAGTTAGAACTTTAACCACAGTAGCTTCAAAGTGTCATGAAATATCCAAAAAACACACAAATACTCTGAAGAAGAGTCACATTCTCTTGTTTTCTTCTTTCGTTGGCCTGACCACCGCTTCATTAACCGGATGTTGATGGGTCACTTGATTGCAAGCCAAGAATTAAGTCAAATTTCTCCCTCGAAAGACCGAAGACTCAAGAATGAATTTGAATCTGGAAAGTTACCGAGCTGTTGGGTTGTTCAAGTACGACGTCTGTCAAATCTAAATTCAATTTGGAGAGACGAGAAAACAGGAAGTTTTGAGTATTTTATTGAAAGGAGGTTTGGCGCCCTAGGTCCCGGTGCGGCCTTCAGATCGGAAAGGCTCCTGCGATGGAGCGCGCACAATCCCCCGGGACCTAGGCACTGGTGGCGGCATTTGACAGCGGGAAGCAGATTGAAGGCAGATTGAAGGCAGGGTGAAGAGGAGGAGGAGGGGAGGCGGTGGTTGCAAGGCTTCAGAGGCCGAGAGTGGGAGTTTCTCCGTTTTTATGCGGCTGGCGAGTCGGTACAGATGATTGGAAGGGGGCGTCTGCTGAGCGATAGGCTGGGGATGCGAGCCGGCCTGGAGGGGGTAATTTTGGTTAACGTCTACCAAATTGAATTTTCGCTGGCTGCATTTCAATTTGGAGAGACGAGAAAACAGGAAGTTTTGAGTATTTTATTGAAAGGAGGTTTGGCGCCCTAGGTCCCGGTGCGGCCTTCAGATCGGAAAGGCTCCTGCGATAGAGCGCGCACAATCCCCAAAAAGGCTGCGTGTTGATGGAGTTTTCGAAGCCTGGTTTGGAGGGGACAGACGTCGTGACTGCTCTATTCTGTGACCGCTATCGCTATGCTGTGACCGCTATCGCTATGCTGTGACCGCTATCGCTATGCTGTGACCGCTATCGCTATATGCTGTGACCGCTATCGCTATGCTGTGACCGCTATCGCTATATGCTGTGACCGCTATCGCTATATGCTGTGACCGCTATCGCTATATACTGTGACCGCTATCGCTATATGCTGTGACCGCCAGCGCAATGCTGCTAACCATTTTTTGCTATATGCTGTGACCGCTATCGCTATATGCTGTGACCGCTATCGCTATATGCTGTGACCGCTATCGCTATATGCTGTGACCGCTATCTACTGTGATCAATACTTGCGGATACTCGGCTGCTGCCGCCACCAGGAAGTTTTGTGAGTGATTTATGGAGATGCCAAGAGGCGCTGGGCTGTCAGAATGGTCGAAGTGTCCGGCCTGATGTATGAGGAGAGGGCCGATGATGACCAGCGGCCCAGCTGCTGGAGGGCAGAATGGGGGAGTCCTAGGGACGCGGCGCGCGTGGCGGCGCCTATCCGGAAGGAGTGGGCTGTGTAGAGATGGGGAGACAGGTTACAAAGCAGCAGTACGGACTTTAGTTGGGCCCTGAACCAGTTAGATGTCATTGGGAGGTGATCGGGGGTGAGAAATAACGGTCCGTTGAGATCTCCTTTCCGAGAGCGGAGGCGAGTGTAATGCATCATGGATCTGTAGGGACAGGGAGAAGTGTCAGACCAAGCTATGACTATATTGCAAGCGCCTTTGCGTTTGGAATGCTTGAGGTGGAGGTTGAAGTAGTCAGGATAATATGACAGGTCAGAGAAGGCAATGTCTCGGGATGCATTAAAGGTGGCGTGAGTTTGTGAATTCGCTTATGCGTAAGAAGCCCATTTTCATGTAGGATGCAGCGGAGGAGAGAAGGTGAAGAGACGGAGGGACTAGGCTGGGGCGAGGGATTCCGTGCAGGGGATCTGGCATGGCGATGGATTGGCAGAAGGGCAGAGGCGTCAGAACTCCTGGAATTTAAAGCGAGAGAGAGAGTCAGCAAGACAGTTAGGTGACGAGGTACGTGACGAACAGTGATGACAAATGTTCGAGACTGAGAGCCATGTGATGCGTCTAAGGAGGGTGTGATTTGGGGAGAGGATGAACGACTTCTGTTAATTATTTCAATGACGTCGAGGTTGTCGCACGTCACGGAAATCCTTTTCCTATGCCATGTATGGTTCCGCAGCACGCAGGCTACGGTCACGGGATATATCTCGTGGAGCGCGGAGGAGATGCTTCGAGGGAAAGCGTCGGGCCGGGGCCCGGCGAACCACTGGTCCTGGAAAAACCCCCAAAACCCACGGACGGGGCTGCGTCCGTGAAGAACCGCGGGGCATCTGAGACAGGATGATGTCACTGTAAAAAAAAAGAGATACACCATCCCAGCGGCTCTGCAGACGGGACCGGAACGCCAGGTCGGAGCGGCGCCCCGCGTCCGGGCAGACAGCGTCATCGAGGGAGGAGCCGGCGAGGGAGAGGAGTCTGGAATTAAAAGAACGACCTTGGGGAATGATACAGACGGCATAATGAAGATGCCCGAGGAGGGAGAGCAAGGACGCCTCGAAGTGACGGGAAGGCCAAGGCAGACCGGGAGAAAGCGCGGATGCGTTTGAGCTTGTCCAGCG